GTTTGAAAAGCCTATTGATTAAAATGGCCCAGGACACATTGCTGCTTGTGTGTGATTGGCCAACTAGGCAATAAATGTAAATTAAGCCTGTTGGTGTTGCTCAGAGTATAGAGCCCCAGCCCTCACACCAAAGAGTCCAGGGTTTGGTTCCTGGTCAAGGGCATGTCCCTGGGTTGTAGGTTCAATCCCCAGCCCTGGTTGGGGCTCGTGGGGGAGGTAATCAATCCGTGTGTCTCTCTTACATTGATCTTTTCCACTCTCTCTCCCCTTCCCTCCCTTCCACTCTCTCTAACAATCAATGGAAAAAATATCCTTGGTGAGGATTAACAAATAAACCAACAATCCCAAAAAGTCAATTAAAACTCACAATTTTTCTTTATTCTAAGACACCCCAGGACGGAAGAAGGGGAAACATAGTTTTCCCTTCCGTTCCCAGGACTTTTGCTCTCATTTCTTTCATCAGCGTGGTTCCCCACGCCGCTTCCATGTATGTGTATGATCAATGCCAGCTAACATCCAGGAGAGCTGGGAAGTGAACAACACTGATTTTCTGGGGGGAAATAATTCCTGATGAAAATCTCCCTAAGTGGACATTCTAGCACGAACCTGCTAAACACTCCTGTTTCAATTTTTGGTCTTCGGAGGATAGTGGTTTCTAATACTTTTTTTTTTTTTTTAAGTTGGACATTTTTCTAGTATTTTGATTCTGCCATTCCCGGTCAAGTGCAGGCCATTGGTCTGTAAGTGGCCCGTATCTCAGGTGGACTGGTTGTCACTGTCTGGATGTGTAGGGGCTTCATCCGGATTGGGGGGGGGGAGGGGAGAAGCGGAGGTTTCTCCCCTAAGGCTGTGGGAACTTGGGCCACCCTGGATGGAATGAATAATGGCCTCAGTAGGTATCCAGGATCCCTATGCGGGGACTACCGAGCGCCTGCAGGTTGACCTGCGGACAGACCCACACCATCCCTGCTTTCGACTCCACCTCCGACGCCACCATCGGACGCCCACCCACCAACCACCCCACAGCCCTGACCTTCCCCCGAAGCCCTGACCGCCAGACAGCGTCTCGATCTCCGCCGCCTGACCCCCGGTTTTCGCCCTGACATTGACCTGCGCGGGCGGACGCCCCCGCGGCGCCCCGGGAATTCCGCCCGGCACGCCCGCCCCGCGCCTCCCGGACCCCGGCGCCGCCGACCCCGGAAGACGCCGCCGGACCCGGAGTCGCAGCGCGCTTCTCGCAAAGTGATTTCTCGGAAGCAGGCTGGCGGGCGGGTCGCGCCAGGTGGGCGTGTCCGGAGGCCTTCCCGCGCCCTGATTGGCTGGCGCGGCCGGCGCGTGGGCGTGTCGGGCCCGGACCTTAAATATGCGCGGGCCCCGAAGCCCGCGGGCCGCAGCTTCGGAGCGCGGCGGGCGAGCGTGGGAACGCGGGCGGCGGCGCGGAAGGCGGGTGGCGGGCCGGGCGCGCGGCAGCAGGTAGGTGGCCGGGGCGGGCGGGCGGGAGGGGATCCGGCGGCGGCCAGGTGGTGCTGGTGGCCGAGACAGCGGGCCGGCACCGGTGCACCTGCCGCCCGGTTTCCGAGCCAGCGGTACCGCTCCCTCGTGCCCTGTTTTCTCCCATCCCTCTATTTCTCAAGGTCCTAGTCATTGATCATGATGCACCTAAATGGATTTGATGCTTAAAAAAAAAAGCGAATTTTTCTTAAAGTCTGGTTTGCATGGGCGACTTTAGAATGGTTCATATAGTGAAGGGAAATATTTGCCCTTTATTATAAAACCCCACTCAAATCCTGCTACATGGAATAATGGTTGGGAGGAGGGTCATAACTGTGAAACTGTCCAATAACCAGTACTGCTTGTGTGCGTTAGCTTGTGAAGGGGCAGGCTGGATTTTTTATTCTGATGGATGCCAGGATATCTGAGTGGGATCTGAGGTCCTAGGCTCCCCTGGCAAGAAGTCTGTATGGGGTCTCAATGAACAAGAGCATTTTGATGTAAAATGTCCCCAAGGCAAGGGCAGACTCCACGGTGAGAAGGTGAAATGTGTTACCCAGAGCTGTGAAGTGCTTCAGGAATGGAGACCACATGTTCCGGGGTTTTAAACGATTCCCCTGACATATGGAGGGATAGAACGACACTTTTTAAAAACTGGTTAGGAGCCAGTCTGAGAGTTTCCTTTTGGATTATGGTACCTTCTTCCATGTGAAGAATTGGGGGTGGGTTAGGTTTTGTTTAGCAAGATTAGGGCCAGAGGGAGAAATGGCTTTGATACTTTTGTGGCCAGGGCGGATGCCCAGGGGCCCTGAGAGGTGTGGGAGTAGGCGAGTCCTGCACCATCTGTCAGGCACATCCTGAAATCGGGTTGGTTGGGCCCAGAGCAATCTCTTATCACCTGCCGCCTGGGAAGCCTGACCCCCGGACTCATTTATAGGGTAGAGATTAGCTCCAGATAGGACTTGGCCCATAAAAAGAATTATTACCTAAAAATCAAGGAAGAGGAAGTTATAAACATGTGACTGGGCTTATAAAATTTTCCTGGCTCAGCATTTGGTGGAATTAATTTGTTAGTGTTTAATAGATCATTATGGATATCTTAATGCTGCTTAGAATCTTGCAGGTGATCTCATTGAAAATTCAGGCGGGACTGTCCATGTGCTGAGGTCTTATAAGCTAACCATGGTTTTTCTCTGCAGAGTGAGTAACATAAGACCCCTTTGCTGGGGTTGGGTACCTTTCTGGGCCTGAGTTTTTCCATTTTTGAACCAAGAGCAGCTGAATTAGATGATTTCTAAAGTTTGTCCAGCTTTTATATTCTGTGACTTATTTTTTCTCTTAATGCCAACTCCTTATTTTCTTTTCTCTTTTCCTTATAAATCACCAAGAGAGCTGTCTTCAACAATTTTGGGGCTAAAAATCCCTACAAGAAGGCGTTGATCACTTTTTGGAGAAATTTCCATACAAACAAAATATTGCTTTTCATTTCAGGATGCTCCTGGGACAGGAACACTAGTTTGTGAACCTTGTACTAAGGGGGTGAGCAAAATGCTAGTGAGCAGGAACATGTTCTTCAATAGACAGATCCACAGACACCAACCTTTTTCTTGTCTTGTGCTCTGGCCCCTCTCCTTGTCCCCCACACAGCTCCTTCCTCCAGGAGTGGACAGTCTCCACCTTTCCAGCAGGAAAAACCCATAGGAACTGCCAAGTTACTTTCTGGGGGGAACCTGGTGGTGTCCTTTCATTTCTCTCATTAGGTGCTCCTCCCGAATTTGTCCCATGTTTATAAACACGGGGACTGTTGTAGAATTGTGGGACACTTGAGGTCCATTCACTCTGCACGTGAGGACAACCTCAGAGAGAGGTTCAAACAGCTCAGCCAAGGTCTGGTTAGAGAAAAGCCTTTGCTGGAGCCTGTGTTTTTCAAGTTGAAGTCCAATGACCATTTCACACAACTGGGCAGTTGGGATTATTGGATGAAAACGTTACATTTTGATGCCCTGACCAGTTTGGCTCAGTGGATAGAGCGTTGGCCTGGGGACTGAAGGGTCCCAGTTTGATTCTGGTCAAGGGCATGTACCTGAGTTGTGGGCACATCCCCCGTGGGGAATGTGCAGGAAGCAGCTGATCATTGTTTCTCTCTCATCAATGTTTTTAACTTTCTATCCCTCTCCCTTTCTCTCTGTAAAAAAAAAATTATATATATATATATTAAAGTTACATTTGGTGCTCACAGAACCTCACCTCCTTCTCAGGTTCTGAATACCTTCTCTGGCCCCATAGTGCGCCACCTGCAGAATTTTCATTATTGCTTTGTGGACCAGCATGGCTCTAGATGTGACCTTATTCTTGGGGACATTATGTCTTGTCACTGCTGATTCAAACTTGTTTGCCAGAAGAGGTCACATTTTAATCAGAAGAATAGAAATGCCTCTTTTTCTTTGGGTGGGCGTCTGTCCAACTGCCTAGGGGATTTCCACCCCTCTTCTTGTAAATGTGAGCTGAGAGTTGATACGGCACGGTTGCTTTCTCTTTTCTCTGTGCTGTTGGGATAGCTGTCTGCTCTGGCAGAATGTCCTTCCGAAGGATGTCTCTGGGCACCTTGGGATGGTGAGGTCCCCTGATTTTAGCACCTTCGGGCTAACTTTGTCCGTAGCCACAGCTGATTTCCTCACTCTTGTCTGCTATCTCCCAGTTGGTCAGAAGAGTTCCTGAGGAAGAGAGTTGGGTTAATAATAACAACATCTGCATTTGGAGAACTCTTTAAAGATCTAGATGTTTTATACTCCTTGTCTAAGCCCTCATTACAATGATGCCAAGTACTGAGAATTGTCCCCGAGTTTCAGCCAGTGAGGCTGACTCTTCAGTGTTAAATGATGCTCCAGGGCCACCCAGCTGAGAGATGGCAGGATTCGAAGGGACCTCCACTCTGCCCTTCCCAGACTCATGCTGTTACCACTAACCAGCTGTGAAGGAACGATCTAGAGGGATAGCCTGAGACTTTCCTCTTTCTTGGAGATCACAAACGTCCTATTTGCTCACAGACACTGGTCAAACTGAGCACGGAACAATGGAATTGGCTCTTAGAGTGAGGGGTGCTCATTGGAGGGGCTTGGAAATGTAAAAACGACTTTCCCCTATCTCTTGCTAAAAATGGAAGGATGCCATCAGATGTGCCTGAAAGGAAACCTGGGGCCAAAGCTGGAAGGACACAACCAGAACAGTAGGAGGGGCCAACATCTGGGTGGAGGGCAGCTACTGATTTCCCAGGGAGCTTTCAGTTTTCATTCCGTGCTCTGAGTTCTGGAGGCAGGCATTGTCCTCTCAGGGCAGGCGGCCCCGAGTCCTGGATCTGAGGGTCCCCCCCCCCCCCCCTGCTGGTACCTGTGTTGCAGTCCTCTGATTTTCCCGTTAGTAGTTCTGGGCTAAGTACCTGGGGTACTGTGATGAATGAGACAATGCTTGTAATGTCTTAGAATATTTTTTTTTTTCTTTTCTTTCCAAGGATGTGTGACCGGAACGGAGGCCGGCGGCTCCGGCAGTGGCTGATTGAGCAAATTGACAGCAACATGTACCCAGGGCTGATTTGGGAAAACGACGAGAAGAGCATGTTCCGGATCCCTTGGAAACACGCTGGCAAACAAGATTATAACCAGGAAGTGGATGCCTCCATTTTCAAGGTAAAGGCTGGGCTTCCCTCCCCTGACCATGAGCTTAGCTACTTCTGCCTTCCCTCACCGGCCGGGGGAGGTGTTGAGTGACAACTTTCCTTATTTTCTTGAAAATTAATCCAATTTTGTAAAACAAACATGGACTGAGAGCAGAATGTGTCTGAAAAAAATACACCATTCGATTTTGCAGCTATTATGTGGTTTAAGCACTTTGTAGTCAGTTGTAGAATGGTGCATTTTTTTTTTTTAAATGAGATTGAGGACAGTTTCTTCATTCTTACAAAGTTATAACTTCTGTTTGGCCATGTGGGGTCAGCTCAGTGAGAGAGACACCATCTGTCGCTCCTTCCGGGCTGGGTCAGATGGGCTGTCCTGCTGCAGGTGTCTAGAAATAGTCTCCTTCCCTTGAGAATAGTGAGTACCCCACTTGCTGATGGACTTGCTGTTTGGTTCCACTATTTGCATCGTGACCGTCAGCGTTGACGGAGGGTTTGCTCTGTGGCAGGCCTGGCCCCACAGGGTTTAAGCTTTCCTCTCACACAATCCTCTGCAGGAGGGGCTGTCCTTGTCCGTGTTCTGTAGAGGCACTGAGAGAAGTGACTTGTTTAAGGTCTCACATCTCCTGGATGATGGAGCCAGCATTTGAACCCAGGCAGCCCCATTCTGAGCCCATGCTCCCAATCTCTAGCAGTACCGCTAAACAGAGATTGCTTGCCATTATACCTGCAACACCTAGATTCAGGCTGAGGAGCTGGGAGCCAGGCAGCTTAGCTTTGCAGCCTAGTGGGTCATCAGACCCCCCCCCCCCAACCCCAATGCCAACCTCCCGGGGGGGGGGGCTTCTCTAAGACTCCAGAAGTGCAGCCTCCACCCCTGAGAGATTTGTAGCCCCAGTCAAGGTGAGCCCAGGGTTCCATTTTTGCAAACAGAGGCACCCCAGGGGTCTGCCTCAGAGTCCAGGTTGCAAACTGCTGCTGCTGTGAGCTGGTTCTGTAGGCATTTGGGTCTTTCCCTTCACACTGCTCCCTGCTTCAGCTTATGCTCTGGGGGTAAGGCCCACAGAACTGGCGGGACAAGGAGGGGACAGCGAGTGATATGGAGGAGGAATGGAAAGGCTGAGTTGTGAAGGGCCAGAACCAGACCGGAGACCTGGGATGAATGAGGAGAGCGAGGCCCTGGTGGACCCTATGGCAACACCAGACTCAGCCAGGGCTTTCTGTCTTCTGACACAAAAAGCCCAACATGACCAGAGATCATACCTTGGCCTCAGAGCAAGAGTATAAGTAGGTCAAAGTTGGCTTATGAGGCATTTCCGTCCTTCGGTTCTCTTTCTGACATTTGCAGTGGGGTCACACATGTAGCATTTCTATTAAATTTGTCATCCGGGGTTGCAGGCCTCTTTGAGGATCTGATGCCAATCACTGGCCCTCTCCAAGAGGAGTGGGCACACGTGGATGTTTTGCACTCACCTTCAAAGTGTCCTATGTGGCCCGAATGTCCAGCAGCTTTTTTTTCCCATCAAAGGACCCCAGGTCAGGAGCCTGGATCCTGCCAGGTTTTTGAGCTGCTAGTGCATCCTTTCTCATTTGTGAGGGGGATGTGGATTCCTCTCATATAGAGGGTTTTACCGTCAGCATTACAGCGAACTTCTCTTGGGAATGACTCCGGCTACATTTAAACAGTGCTAGGGTCCACCTGGTCAGCTGGGAGTTCTAGATCAGAGATCGCCAATCTTTCGGACCTCACAGACCACTAATAGTCCTCAGACCACCTGTTTGCGACCACTGTTCTAGATTATCAATGGCTATATACCAGGGCTCCTCAACTGTGGACATCCAGGGCCAGGTTGTTCCTTTTGTGGGGTCATCCTGTGCACTGTGGGGAAATACCCCACAGTGCACAGGATGACCAGCTGCACCTGCCCCCCACATATGACTGACCAGCTGCACCTGCCCCCCACAGTGCACAGGATGACCAGCTGCACCTGCCCCCCACATATGACTGAATGCCAGCTGCACCTGCCCCCCACATATGACAACCAAAAATGCCTCCGACATTGCCAGATGCTCCCTGGGGTGTGCTCTCCCCCTTCACATTGAGAACGCCTCTAGGAGCTGACCCTGGCCAGGAAGAACAGATGAAGCAGAAGTGTGGGGTGCTGAGGGCACAGTCGCAGGTTGACCATCAGTAAAACTTCTTCAGGAGGAGAGTCCAGGGGGCTGGAGGCGGCATGAGCCTGGCTTGTGGCTTGCTGGAGGAGATGCTTCAGCTTCTGTGCTGGAGGGGGGTATGAAATAAAGCCCCAGATTTATGCATCTTATGCAATGCTTTGCATGGCCGTTTCAACAGCGTTGAGAAAAATGTGCAAGATTCCCAATGTTTCCGTTGATTACGCAGTCGCTCAGTGTGGCAATCTGAAATGAGTGTACAATCTCAGCAGGAATGGGGGCGGGAGGGAGACAGAGCGCCCACCCAGAGCCGGGCGGCCACTGGGCGGGTGACAGCCTGGGCTGGTGAAGTGCAGGCGGGAAGAAGCCATCTCTGAGTTGCGTTGGCTCGGCTCACGCCATCCTCTGCGGGGCGTTTCTCTGCCCACCCAATGTGCCTGCTCTTGGAAGGAGCCAGTAGGCAGGCCTTGGTTAGACAGAGCCACTTAGGGATTTTCTGGTGATGTGGAGAACCCTTTAGTTTTCATACAAAGACAACCTTTTACAGATGTATGAGTTAAAACCGGTCTGTTTTTCTGCCTTTGTAAGTGGGTCTTACAAATCTACTTATGCCAGAGACCCCTTCGCTGTCCGCAGGCGACATTCTGAGGTCAGCGTCATGGTGTGGACCAGAGATGGGAGGTTGCAAAGGACATTGAGCGCAGTGTCCTCGGTACACGGATGAGGCCCTGATATCAGCTCACACTTAGTTTAAAAAAAGTATTTTGGTTCTTTTTCATAATGCTCAGGGTGGAAATCAAGTTAAGGGGTTCTTGACAGACTTCCCAATGGGGTGATATCTTAGAGCCAGCCCGAGAACCCTGGAAGCCGGGTCTCTGCCTTTCTTGAGCTCCCAAGGGATTGCCATTAAGTCAAGAACAGCGGGCACTTAATCCCATACAGGGCATTTAATTACCTTGGGAAAGTTGCCCGTTGGAATTACATTTTCCCAAGTGGGGTTGAGCATTTCCTCTAGCTCTGGTATTATTTTAGGTTGGAAGATTTTGCCTGATGCCAAAGGTTAGTTTCACCTGACAGCAGTGATCTCCTAATTGGTGTGTTCTGTATTCCAATTTTGAAATTAAAACGATGTCCCTTTGCATGTTTGATTAAAAAAATAATAATGCCCCATTCTATCTTTGACCTTAAATCTCCAGTTTTGCAACTTGGTTCCTAGTTCAGAGTCTAAGGTTTGGAGAGGTCAGGAGACAGAGCTGTGAAAAACCTAACAGAGGGAGAGGATATGTCATTGCACTTTAAACAGCGCCTGGGGAGATGGGGGGAAGGCTCGAATCAACGCCAAAATGCAAAACACCGTTTCTATTAAAAGTAGCAGGGCAGCCAGTGGATGATCACACTCAGAATTTTTGCAAATGTTTCCTTTTCATGCTAAATTTTCATGCCAGGGGTTGATTAAAAAAACACGCGCACACACAAATTGTTCTTTGTTTTGAACATTCTAGTGAAACCATGTGCACTTCCTCCTTGTGCTACTTGACCTCAGGCTCCTCCTGGCTCGCTGGTCCAGGGTAGGATTTGTGTTGGCCTGAGTTCCAGTTTCAGCTTAGCTGGGAGATCTTGGGGGGTGATCTCCTTCCTGGCCTGGGTCTTTTTACATCTGTCCATTTCAGATTGCCACTCTGATTGAGCCCTGAAATTCCTTGAATGAGAGCGGATGGCTAAACATGACTTTCAGGAAGGCGAGCGAGCGCTGGTGGTGACTGGCCCTGGATATATATCTGTGGCCGAGGGGCTGACTGTTTCACGTGCTGCTTTCTCTCCTTTCAGGCCTGGGCTGTTTTTAAAGGGAAATTTAAGGAAGGGGACAAAGCTGAGCCAGCCACGTGGAAGACAAGGCTACGCTGTGCTTTAAACAAGAGTCCGGATTTTGAGGAAGTGACAGACCGATCCCAGTTGGACATTTCTGAGCCATACAAAGTTTACCGCATCGTCCCCGAGGAAGAGCAAAAATGTAACTATCCCTGGTGGGCACTCCGTCCAGCAGAGGCTGCAAGGGCCAGGCTTGGGGTGGAAGCCGCTGCCCACAGGGTCTGGGGCAAGTGGTTTTTAGCTAAACACAAACAGCTCTCTCCTTTGTATAAGCGGACGTGGAATTCTCTTTCCGCTGACCTCACCCACCATCTGCTGACCAAGTGGCAGCTTCCAGCCGAGTGAGAGGTGGCACCTGGAAGGAAAGGGCGGGAGGTTGGGTGGCAGCCAGCTCTGCTGACCTGGCGTGTTGCAGGATATCCCTGGGGTCAGGGATAAGATTGGGCAGGAGCAGGGATCCTCTGACAGTGTGGAAGGGATTCCTTTTGTCTTCTAGCAACTCTCAGAGGCAGCCAGGGGACAATCAGGTGGGCAAAGAAGGGAAGGCTGGCTAAAGTACAGAGTTGAGCTCTTGAATGCATTTTTGAATGATGACACTGTGAGTTTCATTGCTGTGACTCAACATTGTCAGATCCTGATCATTGTTTGGGAATTCAGGATGTGATAATTCCTGAAGTTTCCCCCAGCTCTATCATCTCAGGAAAGCATCTGTGAAGAATTGAAAGCAGGATAGCAACGACATGCTGCACATCTTCCAAGGCCTGATACTCTATGCTCTAGTCAGACATCACTAATCAACCAGGATGTTATCTGGAGCTCGGATCTGGCCCCAGAATCCTTTTCAAAGTGGTGTGCTGTGCAGCTGCTATGAATCAGAGCTGGCCCATGAGATAAAATCTAGTTGCCACCCCTGCTTTAAAACATTTGTTCACACATTGATTTTCCTGGCCATGAGATGTAGCAATTAGAATATTGTCATGGCATCCTCTTCTCTTTCGAAGAAGTCCGGTAAGACCTGAAGGAAATAGAACTTTCTGGTAAGGGCTAAGTAGAAATTATGAGTGTGAGTTCTTTCCACTCTGGGAAGGTTAAACATGTTGATGTGTAATTTGCTCAGTGAGGGGCAGAAGGCCTAGCCTGGCATTACACCATAGTTTGACACTGATCCTTTCTGCTGCTCATTTGTAGTTTGATTCATTAATTATACATTAACACCTGGCTTTACTGAGTCTGAAGTCTAATCCATAGTCAGTACGAAGTCAAACAAGCTGACCTGGAAAATCAGATGACCCTTAGGGGAGACCTCTTGGATAATCCCCTGGGATGGTTTCAAAAGGCCAGTGGTCTTTTTGCTTTATTTCCCAGTTTTGGAAATATGTATATGTTTCCAATATATAAATATTTTTTTTGTCACCACAAAGTAAATTGTGCTTTGAAGTAATGGAGAAGTTTCTTACTTCCCTACCCCCAGGGTCATCCAAGCTTGGACTGGCAGGTGACCCCTATACTATATTTATAGTATGGGGTACAGCTAGCATCACCTGCAAGGGTGGATGTTCAAGAAGCAGGTTCTCGGGGGAGAGGAGGAAAGGGGCATTGCATTTGCATAAAGTCTACATGGACCCATTGTCCTCTGTACTTCAGTAGTTTGCAAGCTATATGGGGGGTGCCCCACCTACCCACTACTTCCCCCATCAACAGCTTCTCAGTGAATTCTTGAATCTATCAAAGTGGAATAAAAGACCAGCGAGGATGAAACAACAGGCCAATTTTGTAGCTCATTGGGACTAAAGTTACAATACATCTCACTTAATACACTGATAAGCTTAACGAGGTGCGTTTCTGGCTGGGGCAGAGGCATAAGAGCAAGGAGGGGGCTAGCCTGATCCAGAGAGCTTGTTATGGAAATGCTCACATGCCTTTGGGGATGCCTGATGAAGGCAGGTTCCAACTGGGCCTGGGTGAGTCTTTGCCGTGCGTGCGTGTGTGTGTGTGTGTGTGTGTGTGTGTGTGTGTGTGTGTTCACGCAGAGATGCACACATGTATATTTGGAAAGGCTAAAAGGAGATTTCCTGCCAATTAACTTTAAAGAAAAAAATCTAACCTGCAAACATATTTTGCCAGGAAACTTTGAGTGTCTACAAGTGCCCCAGCTTGTAAATTTAACCTCTGCAGGGGTAGAGGGGGTAGACACCTGGGGTGACAGGGATCTGATAGGCGTTCATTTGAGATCTCCATAAACAGAAGTAAGAGACCCAAGTGCTCTTTGGCCTCTAAGTGTTAGAAACAACAACAGCCAACTTCTCTCTTTTGATTTTGCTGATCAGATGACTGAAGAAGCATGGGAAAAAATTTTCTAGGCCTTTCCCAAACCAGGGAAGATACTGACTGACTTTTATTTCCTTCAACTCAGCATTTAGAAACAAACCACTGATGATGGCCTCAAGGGTGGTAGGGATGCCTCAGTGCTCTGGCCACGTTTTGTCATGCTTGTCTGCTTTTCCATAGGCAAATTGGGCATGTCGACTCCTGGCTGTGTGAATGAAGTCACTGAGATGGAGTGTGGTCACTCTGAAATTGATGAGCTGATCAAGGAGGTAAGTGGAGACAGCATTTCCAGAGGTCTGGCCCGTCAGCAGAAGGTGAGCAGTGGCATTGTTCTTGCCCTGCCAACAAATCCAGAGCCTTGGGCTCTCCCAGCAGACCTTGTCTCTACTCCAGCAAAGACAGAATGTGAGACTGAGCCACCTCTATGTGGCCAGCCTCCGCCAACTGGTCAGCCCTCTCACCTGGTGTCCTGTCTTTAATCCCAAGAGCTGGGGAGAGTGCTTGTTCTGTTAGGGATATTCCCTCAAGCTCTGGATTTCCATACTTAAACATTCTGAGTGCCAGTCTTTTGTATTGCATCCTGTATTTTCTTACCTTCTTAGCATGCTGCAGTGAACAAGATGGCAACTTTCCCTTCCTGCTTAGGGTTGTCCCTATGGCATGATTATTGTACTAGTTTTCATGGCTGGTGGGCTGCCTGTCTTCCATTACGCAGCTTTTCATCCTCGATGGGTTGGGAAGCCATATAACCAAGCTTGTTAGAATTGTGCGTAAAGTCATAGTAAATAGGCTACCGGTAAAGGCTTAATGGGGTCCTAGGCAATGGGTATTTGAATACCAATTCTAGTTATTTGGATGCCATTTTCTTTACTTTCAGCCTTTACACTATGCTTTTATGGCTATTACAAGGTGGACATTGCATAGCTGAAATAATCCCACACAGCCCTTGAAAAAGGTGGTGGAGGTGCCATGTAAATGCTTCTTAATTCCCATAGCAATGCCAAAATCCTTGACAGTAGCTTGGTGGTCAGGAAATGCTGATAACTAAACACAATGTCCTCCAAGCTGCCTGACGTGGCTGCACATGGCAGCTGTCACATGTCTGGGTGGTCTTGGGCAGCGGGTCAGCGGAATTCCTGGTTTCCTGTCACTCCAACAATGAGGCTTTTCTGCTGACTCAGCGGATAGTGTGAACTAACAGGATTGGTGCCCCGGGATCACAGGAAAAGCAGATTTCAAAAGTGTATCTGAACTGGACTAACCAACCTCCTTTAGGAAGTGGGTCAGAGATAGAGAGCTGAGGTGTGATGTGTTGAGTGAGACTCACAAAAGCATGGCAGAGTCCATTCAAAGTCACGTGCGCTGGGGTCCTAGAACCGGCAACAGGCAGTTTCAGTAAAAGGTCAGTAAACTTACTAAGGGCCCCGAAGAAGCTAGGAATTCAGTTACGTAGTGTGATCATGGAGCATCCTGGATCTTTCAAGATACAAAGTAAAACTTCCCTTTAGTTTGATGAACTAGAGGTGACGACAGTATGGTCTTAGTTAAGCACAAGCCATTCATCCTGACGGCCCCGGGGGTCCTGCTTGGGAAGCCTAGTGACTGTGCCATTCTTCTGTGCAGCGCCCTGTGGATGAGTACATGGGGATGGTCAAAAGGAGCCCTTCCCCGCCGGAGGCCTGCAGGAACCAGCCCCTCCCAGACTGGTGGATGCAGCAGCCCAGCGCAGGTGAGGATGGGAGCCAGGGCCACTCGCAGTGCTTGGGGCCTGGACTTGTTTGAGTGGTTTCAGCCTGATAGCAGCCGGGATGGGTTGGGGATGGGGGACCTGCCATGATCCCTATTTTACTGACGGTGACTGCCTCCCAGGAAGACACACGTGTCCTTCCCATAGGAGGTGTCTGCCTCCTGCGTGGCTCCTGTGAAGGTCCAGAGGGAGGGAGTGCAGTGAACTTCTCCAAGACCAGAGGGGATTCACAGCTCTGGGCCACGTTCTGTCTGTTAGGTCCTCCATCCAGTTTCTTCAGACATTAGGGACCTCCCAGAGCCATGCACAGCCCAGAGCGGTGGCTGGAGAGCAGGAGAGCAGGAGAGCTCAGGAATGGGCACTTGCTCACGCAGAGCCTTGGATTTGAGTCCCCTGTCAGAAGTTGCATATCCTATATAAGGCTCAGTTTCCTCATGACAAATGGAGGCACCAGGACTGACCCACAGGGTCTGTAAGCTAAGTGAGGCACGCAGCCTCTTACTAGCTTCTGATGACCCAACCCTCCACCACCGTTTGAAATGACCCTCCTCCTTTCTTGGCCTCTTTCCTACTGTCCCCAGTGGGCGACCAGGAGGCGGTCGCTAGCCTAATGGGCCTCAACGATTGTGGGTGTGGGGTGGTGTCCAATCAGGGGCCCTGTGGAGTCCCCCTCTCCCTGGGCTCAGCAGCACCTCTGAGAAAGCTAGCTCGGGCCCGGCTCCCCTGCAAGGCAAGGCCTGGATGGTGGACACGCAGTCCAGCGGTATTTTGGGAGCAGGGGGAAGGAAGCGTGGCCCCACAATGTCACACTGACACATGATCAGAAATCCCACAGCGCAAGAGGAAGTCTCCCCCCCGCTCCATGCTGGTTGGGTTGAGGTCTGGTTTTCTGCGTTGATGAAACATAGGTCGCCACACTGAGAGGGAAAAACACCGAATTCGGCGGAAGCCTGTGGCAGGGCCCCAGGAGCACGCCATATGCGGCTTTTTAAGAAACTTTTGGAGAGGGGGAGCGTTTGGATTGCCTCCCCCTGCACACAACTGAGCCTGGCTGGGTCTGAGTCTGCTTTTCTCTTCCTCCAGCAGGCTTGCCGCTGGTGCCGGGCTACCCCGCCTACGATGCACACCATTCAGGTACGGAGTGCTCTGGGCTGGGTCGGGTAGGGGACACCCTGAATACAAAACTCGAAGGACCTGTGTGGGTTTTTGAGTGCCCCTGTATGAGCACAATCTGGTGTCAGAAGTCACCTAATTCCTCCTTTTTCCTGTTTGGCTTTGAGAGTGAGCAAGTGGCTGGCCTTTCTGAGACTCTTCTTGGACTGGATCAACAAAGAGATCTGAAAAGCTCTCGCAGGGAACTTCCATGGGAGAAAGAGTGCGGGGGCAGACACACTCAAGGTCCAGCTCTTGCCCCTCTCATGGGACCCCAAACAAAGTGATTGAATCACTTGGGACCTCAGGCTTCTCATCTGTCGAGTGGGGACAACAGTAGCAACTACCTCATGGCAGTGTTGTGAGGGTTACACACAGTGTTATTAAAACTTCCTGGTAGGGACATATGGGTCAGTGGATGTCACCAGTGACGGTTTCTTTGACTCTCTCTCACCTAAGTTTGTAACAATAACAATGCCAGTAATGATAATGGTGGTGGTGATGGTGGTGATGATGGTGATGACGATGATGGTGGTGGTGATGGTGATGGTAATGATGGTGCTAGAGATGATGATGGTGGTGGAGGCTGACATTAGTGAATGCTAACTGGGTCCAGGATCATCATTGAGACATTCATGGCCTAATCTCATTATCATTTCCCACCATCCTTAGGTAGGTGTTGTTATTTCCATTTTATCAGCTCAGAAACCCCTGATCACAGAACTTGTGGGCCACAGAGCTGGGGTGTGGCCCCAGGCTGTTCCATCCCTGCTCCTGCCCCAGATGACAGAGCTGCTCTCTGTGTCACATTGTTGTTAAATGCATTGGGGACTTGGACCGTGTTCCTGCCAGCGGTTCCTGGAATTTACATTCAGGCTCATCATTGATGGCATCATCAGAGCAAAGGAAGCTAGTGCCTTCCCCCAAAGCGGCAGGTTCTGTGAGAAGGAAGAAGCCTGACTCATCAAGATGGGGCTTGGCACCCGAAGCCGCCTGGCACGGGAGGAAACGGGGCCCAGAGAGAAGTGTCTTGACCAAGGCCCTCATGGGATGAGTGTTTTGGGTGGTAGAGGCAGGTTCTCACCCAGGCAAAAAATTTTTAAAGCAAACGATGCTCCCATTCATTGAGCACTCACCCATTGCACAGTGGCCCTGGGAGCTGGGGACAGTTATATCTGGCTTCACAGATGAGGAAACTGAGGCTTAGTGGTGAAATCTCTCACCTCAGATCACACGGCTGGTAAGCGGGATTGCCGGGTTCAAACCCAGGCATCTGGCTCCAAGTCTGTGTTTAGATTTATACTGGGCAGCCACCATGCTCACCAGAGGCTCAGGTCCTGGAGGCCCTGGGTCATGGGACCGGGCCTTTGACCTGGTTAGCTCTGGGCTATGGCCCCGGGAGTCTGCTGACCAGTGCTTCTCATCTGAGGTAGGAGGGTAGTCTGGCACATACTGCAGTGTCTGGGCGAGAAGACATGGTCTGAGGAGGAAGCTTCCTCAGTTATTCCAGAGCTGTCTCAGCACACAGCAGGTGGAATGACTCACAAAGAAAACCCTACACCATTCCTCTAGAAGTTGTGGACTTTGGTACCTCTGCTCGGGTCACACAACTCCTCCCCCCACGTAAATAAGTTGTCAGGGGTCCCCAGTTCTTATCCCTGTGGGGACCGAAATAGAAGGGTGAAGTGACGGGAGGAAGACAAGAGTGTCAGCAACTGTGGCAAAGTGGAGGGCCACACTCCGCTGGGCTGCTTGTGGTTCCTGCCCTGTGGACTGACAGACCCAGCCAGGCCCAATTTTCCCATTTCTCTGGAGGAACCTGAGGTCTGGATTTTAGGTGAAAATTTCCCATATAAAAGATTGGCAGCAAATTTGTGTTAACAACACCTCACGCTGCTGACAGATCCAAACATGTCTGTGGCTGCCCGTTTGTGTTCTTAACTGTATGCATTTGAAATAACTGACAGTGTGGCTTGGTGCTTAAGAATACAGATGTTGTGCCCTGGCTGGTATGGTTCAGTTGGTTGGGCATTGTTCCATGCACCGAAAGATCACTGGTTCAGTTCTCGGTCAGGACACATACCCACGTTGCAGGTTCGATCCCCAGTCAGGATGTATATGGGAAGCAACTGATCAGTATTTCTCTCTCTCTCTTCCTATTTCTACCTCTCTCTTTCTCTTTCAAATCAATTAAAAAAAAAAACCCCACTCAGATGAGGAGCCAGTCTGCTAGGAATGGAGTGCATCCAGGTTCCCCAATTAGCAATTGTGCCATTGACAACAAGCACCTTCACCTGTCTATGACTCAGTTTTCTCACCTGGAAAATGGGTATAATTATTACTAGTCTTTACCTCATGGGACTGTTATGAGGATTAAATGTGCGAATAGGTCTAAAGCCTTGGGAACAGCACTTGGAATGTACCATGTAGAACAAGGACTGTGGCTTATAATGTCAGGGGTCTCATCGATATAACTAATCTTTTGTCCTGTTACCCCAATTTATTTAATAATCACCTATATGGTGCTGCCATATGCTAAGTACAAATGCAAGGTCATTTAATCCTCACAGTCACCCAGTGAAGTGGGAATATTATTATCCCCGTTTTGCTGATGGAGAAACTGGGGCACAGAGTAGGGAATATCACACAGCAGGGATAACGCATCATGCAGTGGGTTCCAGAGTGTGTGCTCTGCTGCCACTGTGGCCGGACTGTCCCCTGGCAGGGCTGTCCTTGGTGGGCGGGTGGGTGTAACGGGAGCAGGACAGGGCTGCAGCGGGGCTCTTAGGATTGCCAAGGGCAGGACTGAGTAACTGGAGGCCCTTTATGAGTGGCTTCTGCTCTGTGTGTCTCCACTGCTCGCCTGTAGGGCACGGTGAGCCATGGCCCTGGCCCTTCTGGCTTGAATCTCCTCTGAGCCTAAGCTGTCCCCTTGCATTGGGGTCCCTGCCTGGACATCTGGAACACCTTGCCCGTTGCTCCAGAAGTTCACACAGTTAAGAGACACTAGTGTGAACGAAGGCCACAGCCATGACAGGACAGAGGGGCAGAGTGGTGGCAGAGACAGCTGGCGTGTCTCATCCATTGGGACAAAGTTCAGAATTGTTTCAGGGTGAAGGAAGTGGAATGTGTCAAGTCATCAGGCGATGCAGACATTGCAGACTTGGAGGGTGGGAGGATGGTGGGTGGGGGCCATGAGGCAGGGGGTTGGATGCGAGTGCTGCTTCTTACCTGCTGGGTGACTCCACCTGAGCCTTAGTTTCCCCAAATATCAAATAAATGAGTTGGTCTGGAGCCCCTGCAGCTCCGATTCCCTGCGTAAGTCTAGACTGCCATTTAACGCCAAGTGGGAGGAAGTGGAGCTTGTGAACAACAGTGGGGAAGCTGTTTGCTCTTAGTATTTGAGCAAATGAATCTTGATCGAAGCCCGTGGGAGCGTCCAGGGAATTGTAAGTGCACCTGAACACAGCTGAGGTGGTTGGCCCCACACAAGGCTGCCCCTGACAGTTGGGCAGGTGTGCGCTGCACCAGTGTAGAGGGGCACGATGGAGTTGGGCAGCTCACAGCTCATGTGGCTCAAGGGAGCAGCCCCAGATTGGTCTTAAAGGCTCCTCCAAACTCACCAAGCTCATTGATAGCGCATGTAATTCTCACAGGTTAAGGCAAGTAAAATGCGATGTCTCTAGGAGTACCCCTGAATTTAGCTGTTGTCTTTAGTTTAGAGGTTCCCACCCTTTAGGCCCTTGAGCCCCACCTTCACACTTTGGTTTTCATATCTGGGTGCCACCTGGACTATCATGAATATCCTATTTTTCTTTACTCTAACTTTATAAAACATAAATTGACTTTAAAATGAGGGCCACTTATCATTGCCTGGAAACGGAGAAGCAGATCTCTGCTATAAGCAGGAAGTCAGAGGTCAAAGCACATTCATTGGAGACCAGAGATTCTGTTCAGAAATCCTGGCCAGAGCCTGCCTCTTGGTTAAAGGGAGGTTGCCAGAATGAGTGTTAAAGATCTGCTGGCACCAAAGCAGGCTTTGTTTCTTGGTGGTCAGAGTTTGAGAGGATAGACATACATGTATGATACACAGTTGCTTAGTTATATAACTACGGATACTCTAGAATAACGTAGCCTGTAGTGTCTGTGCTCATAATGGACGGATATGCTAGGTCTGAATTCGAGGTTAGTGAAAATAAAGATATACCTTTTTATCTTGACAAATTCTCAGTTCCCTGGATTTCAAATTAAGGATCAATCTTACGTATTATAACACTGAATTATATAGTCTAACGTATAGCAGTGCTAGAGCAGTGCCTGTGAGGGGGAGCCAACGTCCTAAGAAATTAAGTTGTCAAAACCTCGTCACTCTTAGGGTGACTGATACATTGTGGCAGCTGCCAGCCCTTCCCAGAAGTAGGGAGAGCACTCTAATGGTTTTGTATATAAATCATTGGTTTCCTTAGCAATTCTGTGGACGTATTCATGCTTATAAAATTTTATTTCTAGAAAGAGTGCATGAACTTCCCAGAATGCCAAGAAGGTCCTGGACACACAGACAGTTAGGCTCCCCCAGTTTGGAAGGGAGAAAAGCTCTGGACATTTCCCCAGGAAAGACCAGGGAGAAGCCCCTTTCCTTCAGCCCCTGATCTGTCCCCCTCTTTCCCACAGTCTTCTCCCAGATGGTCATCAGCTTCTACTACGGGGGCAAGCTGGTGGGCCAGACCACCACCACCTGCCCCGAGGGCTGCTGCCTGTCGCTGAGCCAGCCGGGCCAGCCCGGCGCCAAGCTGTATGGGGCGGAGGGTCTGGAGCTGGTGCGCTTCCCGCCCGCGGACACCATCCCCAGCGAGCGGCAGAGGCAGGTGACCCGGAAGCTGTTCGGGCACCTGGAGCGCGGTGTGGTGCTGCACAGCAACCGGCAGGGCGTGCTGGTCAAGCGGCTGTGCCAGGGCCGCGTGTTCTACAGCGGCAACGCCGTGCTCTGCAAGGACAGGCCCAACAAGCTGGAGCGCGACGAGGTGGTCAAGGTCTTTGACACCTGCCTGTTCTTCCGAGGTCTGTATGCTGTCACCTTGCTGCCTGGGTCTTCCTCCTCCCCACCCCCAAATACATTTTCATTGCTCTCAGAAAGAAAGGGAGAGGGAGAGAGAGAGAAACATCAATGGTGAGAGAGCATCATTGATCAGCTGCCTCCTGCACGCCCCACACTGGGGATCAGCCTGCATCTCAGGCATGTGCCCCGACGGGGGATTGAACCCCAACCTCTTGGTTCTCAAGTTGATGCTCAACCACTGAGCCACGCTGGCTGGGTTGCTGCCTGTGTCTCAAAGAGCTCGCCTTCTTCCCAGGGCCATTTGTCACCCACATCCCCATGGGAATAAGCGGGGGCTAGAGGCACAGCTGCAGCAGGGGTGCCCCCTGTACTTGAATTCTGCTCTGCACTTGTTTTGCTAAACGATCCTGGGGAAACCTCTCTGTGCCTCGACGTCCGGTGTGTAGAATCGGGGGAGCAGTGCAGCACCTTCCTCGCACAGCTGTTGGGGGGATTCAGGAACGTAGCGCTCTGCAGCTCTGTATGGGCTGTTCCTACACCCTGGGAGCTGGTTGGAAAGCATTTCCTTCCATAAGCCTTTGGAGCAGAATCTGCATCTTGGCCAGGCCCCAGGGGTTTGGCGTGTGCTGACCTTGCGCACAGAATCCTCGGGACTACGCCCCCCACACAGAAGTGCTGCCCACCAGCCATGGTTATTCTGTGGGGCGTAGAGTTAGATTCCCACTGTGTGTGTGTTCCTCCCAGCGGTCAGGGTGTCTGAAGTCAGTCCATCAGGCTGCCTGCAGCACTGCGTGGGAACCCTCCTCTGTGCTCCAAAGCTCTCTGCTTCTCCCCCTGCTATACCCAGGGGCTAGTGTCACATCTCTCCTGCCCCCTGGCCTGAGTCCTAGAGTCTTCCTGGAGAAGGGGCCCTGGAAAGGTGGGCTCCCGAGGCATGTGTAAGCTCAGGTGTGGAAGCACCGGCGAGTGGCCGACACCCCCTTCCTCCTGTGTCTTTCCAGAGCTGCAGCACTTCTACAACAACCAGAGCCGGTTCCCCGACAGCAGGGTGGTGCTGTGCTTCGGAGAGGAGTTTCCAGATATGACCCCATTGCGCTCCAAACTCATCCTCGTGCAGGTGAGAGCAGGCAGTGCCGGGGCTGGTGGCCAGATGATCTCCCAGCCCACACCTCTTGGGCTGAAGCACAGGCAGCGAGGCCTGGGGGGCTCCACTTGTGTGCAGAAGCGGACCGGGGAGGCCTCCCAGTGGCAGCCATGGGCTCTTGCCACTGCAGAGCCATCTTCTCACGTTGCAGGACTCTCCCAATCTGTGTGTCTCCCCTGCCCTTTCTTTGCATGGCTTGTTTTGCAAAATCAAAACCTCCTTTCCAGAAGGATTCCACTCTGCCTTAAGGCCTTTGTGACCTTAATAAGGGTTTTACAAGCCCTTATTTAACTGGTGTCAAAGGAAGGAAGCTCTAATAGTGGAATTCTGGACACTGGCTAGGCAAGTCGGGACACGATTGAAAAAGCATACATAGGAGTCTTTATAGGGAGCCCGCTTGCCCTTTCTTTGCATCTCCTTATTCTGGGTTCATTCATTTGGGAGTCGAACGCTAGCATTACACTGGGGTAATCAAAGAATCTGGCCAGGGTCAAAGGAAGTCCCACCTCACTTCCCATCTCCAGCTCTGACCGTGTGCCCCATTCCTCTAGATTGAGCAGCTGTATGTCCGGCAGATGGTGGAAGAAGCTGTGAAGAGCTGTGGTGCTGGGTCCGTGATGCAGGCTCCCGAGGAGCCCCAGCCAGACCAGGTCTTCCGGATGTTTCCAGATATCTGCGCCTCCCACCAGAGACCCTTTTTCAGAGAAAACCAACAGATCACAGTTTAAGTCTCTCTCTCGGGCACCCCACCCCGCCCACCTCTCATATTTCATTATTACAATTACTATTGTAATTATTTAAGGATATAGATCCCTCTGACCTGGGGTGGGATGCCTCACTCTGCTCTTAATTTAGTAAGGGCATGCTCTCTGAGGGCTCCACGTTCAAAGTGAAGTGTCCAAATTCTGTTGTTCAGGTGTCAACATTGAAGCCCACACCAGGTGGTCTGCATGGTGTAACTAGAACCTCTGATTAAAACATGTATTTCTTGTATTGTCCCCTAATTATCATTAGTTGCTATGATTCTTCAGCATTTTGGGATAAGTGATATTTCCAAAGGCTTTCATTCAATTTGACTAGCGCATAGTTGCTTCCAGTAAAGAAATTTGGGGATCAGCTAGTGAAGACAAGACTGCTTTTCATCTTTATCTTTTGCTAGAGCTATAGATTTATGATTTCATGTGCTTGATTCAATGTGAAGTGTTTTTTGTACTTTTAAGCATGTTAATAAGATTTAAAAATACATGAATAAGTAATAAGTATTATGAAGTCTCCCTTTAATAAGTGAAAGCAAAAGCTCTTGGCAAGTTGGGAGAACGTATATTCTCCCCAGAACTTGGTGCTAGGAAAGCGTCTCCATCACGGTGTGAATGGGTGAGTTCTGATTCCCAGACAGTGAAAGATTTCCCTTTGGCACATTGTTGCAGGAAGCTTAGAGCTAAATTTAATTTTTTTTCCATTTCTGTAATTAAGTCATCGAGATAGCCTCGCTGGCTGCTTCTTTCTAAATGGTTTCGACCTGTTTTAAAAACATTTGTAATTTTAATTACACAATTATAAACTGCTTTGAAGCTTTTCCTCCCCCCCCCCCCCTTCTTTTCATAAAGTGGGCAGGATAGAAAGCACAAATTCAAAATAAAGGGCGTTCCCCTAAAATGTCTGCACGCTTCAACAGCTGACAGCTTGATTGATGTCTCTTTCTTTTCAGATTTAACCCATTGGAATTAATAATTATTCAAAGTGTGTATACATTTTTGAGGGACACCCTGTATAATTATGGATTTTATGAGCCTTTTGCTTGTACCTTGATTCAGTCACTCCATTCACCAGCCGGTGGTGTTTAGTGTGTAGGCATGGCTAAAATGGATTGGGGATGTGGATGACATGTGTTGCCTGTCACCACTACACCGGTCTTGGGATGAGCTGTGGTTGGGGGAATGCCTTCCCCTATCCCTACCTCTCCTCAACGCCCCCACTGCACACCCAATTCTTCAGTGGAGCCATCTAGTGGGATTTCCATGGAGAAGTTCCAGTTTCAGCCCTGGAAAAACTTACCCTATTTTTTTCTAGCAAATAGGATGCATTTACCAGCCAAAATGTATCAACATGTTTACCCTAAATCCTGTTGCTAATCAAAAGCCAGGGACAGAAGACTGAAACCAATGGCCTGGCTTACCAGAGAGGGCAATGCACACTACCTCAGACCCTCCAGTGAGCAGCAGACCACATCACCACAACCCCTCCAAACCACTTGCAGGATCAAAGAGCACATGAACATTTTTTTTTCTAAATAAATGTTGTATTTTGCTAGATTGAGGTGCCTCTGGTTTCTGTGGCGCCTGTGGTGCACCTGGCCTGGCAGAGATTGGCACGCAGTATGTGAGGGGGGCTGCCCCCCTTCTTGGTGGTGTAATTTGCTGGTCCGGCCGAGTCAGTCCCACCGTGGGTGCAGGCACCAGGCGGGTTTGGGGATTAGGAGGGTGCTGTTGCTTTGTTTCCACTGTCTTGGGGTTGGGGAAAAGAATCTTTTCTGTATTCTCCTCCCTTAGTCACACAGCCTGGGTCATCACCACCCCTGACTCAGAATCTTACCATGAAAGGATTAGAAGGGGCTCACCTGTCACCCCTCATTTTGAGAAATGGAAAGAGTTGGAATTTGGGGGACAAATTGCCCCCGCTCAGCCAACCTGGTGGCCCTGTAATAACAAAAGACTTCAAATCTGAAAGGCCAAGGAATGCCTGTTTATTTCCCCGTCATTGCTGCGTGGTGATGCAGGGGGTAGCACTAGCCAGCTTCCCCCTTACAGAGCCTTCTGGGGCGCCGAATTCATGTGGGTGCACAGGAAAACTTCAGTAAAAGGCTCGTTGCCTTTGGTCAACAAAGTGAGCATTACATTTTTAAGGGTAACAGCTGTTTTCTGAAAATTTGTGAGATACTGGCAAATAGGCTTTAGTTTGTAGCTCAAATGAATGTCAAAGTATACATTTTTAATATGCTGGGTGAATATTTATTTTTGTATGCATTTAAAAATATATTGATCTCAGGTGTCTGGCTAGCTCAGTCGGTAGAGCACGAGACTCTTAAAAATATATTGATCTCTTTTATTCTTTATTAAAATAAAGTGCTCTTTTTTAAATCTGATGTATGCTCTGTTTTTTTTTTTAAGTTACTATTAAATATGTTATAATTTTCACTAGATTCTAGGTATTGAAAAGGGGGAATTAAAAAACAATACCACACTGTGATTTTAAGAATGTTTTGCTTGTTTGCTTTCTACTCCTCCCTAGAAAAATAGAACAATATACGGAGACTTGCAGATTATGCGGAATTTCCTGGAGAGATGTGGGGCACGCCCTGTTTCTGCTAACACTGGGGCCTGTTTGGGTTTCTGTGAACTGATTTATGACTGCAGAGGGCATGGAGGAAATAGGAGCTTGGCATTGGGAGCACTTCCTGGAAGCTGCTGGAAATGATTTGTAGGAGGGCCTCCTGGGTCAGGTCAACTACATGTGATGGGACTGTGAATCCTTTCATTCATACACATGCTCACTGTGCTACATCCTGGGACTAGAGTGGGGACACAAGGGACCCAGTTTGCTTCTAGTTTAATGGGACATGCCTGTTGAACAACCCAGGAAAAATTGTCAATTGCAGGGAGTTCACAGGCTCTGACTAATGCAGGTAGAGAAATGGTACCCAACACACTTGTCTCCATGGCAATGGGTATTACCTCTTCAGCCTCAGATGAGCCTGGGACAACAGAGCCTGTTTGACTGACTGAGGGTCAAGTCTGAGAGGCTTTCTGACAACATTTTGAAGTCTCCTAGCTGATAACACCACATGGGAAAGGCAGCAGCTGGGCAAATCGCTGACTTTCCCAGAAATCTTTGCAGTGAGTCATGTTCATTCCCGAATGCTGCAAGTAGGAATTTTGTTTATAAGCAAGCCCGAGAGTTCATCTGTCCTATGAATTCAGGACCAACTTGATGAAGTCTGCCTCTCCCCAGAGTTCAACACCCTTTGCAGATAGTTGGCAGATTCTTCCCACTCAGCTTCTTACTTCATCCTCAGAGGGCAAGGAGGGAATCCAGGGACAAGATGCATCAGGAGTCACTAGAAATTCTAGAGAATGCTGAATTAGCTTTTGAGAGGTTGACTCTTCTCTAGGACCAAGGAGCAGCTAGTGGGAACAGGCTGTGAGATATTCTGGAAAATAAACAGCCTTCACTCTTTGTATTTGGAAACATTAAAAGGAATTAAGGTATTTCAACAGTCACTCTTTGAGTGCCATTTAGCACTTTAACTTTGGCAAAATACTCCCAAAAATGGGAAATTTTTGTTTTCTTTGTGATGTCCAGATGGATTGAGATGTTGACCCCAGGGGTTAGCATCCACAGACTCCGCTGGGCTGTTGGACTCCTGGGAGAACTTTGCCGAAGGGCAGGCATTCCAGTGAACTACAGGGATAATTCTCTTCACAAAGAGCCAATTGTGGGAACTTATTTGTACGAGTGATTCAGACTCTCCACCCTAGAAAGTTTCATAACTCAATTACTCAGAAATATTTAGAAAGTCTTTCTGAAGAATTATCTATAATTAATGACTGTGATTGTAACAGCTCAGTAGGCTGGGAGGTGGGGGGGTGCTTTCTCAGTGGAAAGACCGGCTGCTTTTACCAGAAGTAGGAGGGAAGCAGCCAACATCTTGACCCACTCAGAATCTATACCTCCTTCCTGGACAGGTACACGGCACAGCAGCATGTTAAAAGGTCTCTCTCATGAATCTTATTTAATTCAATGTTTCCCAAAGTCATTTGCTCTAACGTTATGCCTTGCGATGTGTCTATAGATGAGGGTGTCTAAGTGTGCATATTTCTATCCTGCTCTTATTGGCCATTCAGGCTAAAATGGAGGCTGCCAGGGTGGGATGGCTTCACTCATCTCTTTCTGTGAAATGAAATACCCCCAAACGAAGGGGCCAAGAAACATTGTATTTTGCTCATGGATTCTGTAGGCCAGGATTTAGACAGGGTACAGTGGTGTTGGCTTTTCTCTATTCCACAATGTCTGCAGCCTTCTGTGGGGAAACTTGAACAGCTGAGGATGACTGGAGTGCCTGGGGGTGGAATCACCTGAAGCCTTTTCGTTCACATGCCTGGTGCTTGGGCCAGGAGGACTGGAAGGCTGGGCACAGCTGGAATGTTGACACGTGGTCTCTTCATGTAGTTTGGGCTTCCTCACAATATGGCAGCTTTGGGGGCAGGGCACTGGAAAAAGAAGAAGATGAAAGTCTGTCTTTGGTCTGGCCTCAAACTCCATTTAGCATCACTTCTGCCACACCTTATTGGTCAAAAGCAGTCACAGACCGTCCACATTCAGAACAGGCTGAGCCCCCACCTTCTGATGATAAGAGTGCCAAGGAATTTGCAGTCATATTTTGAAACTGCCATAGGGGCCTGGAAGCATCTTCTCCTTTGCTCTTCACCCCATTTACCTTTTAAAGTCTTCTGTCCTCTCCCTAGAATTCCTGGCTCCTTTCTGCCCCAACTCTTGAGTCCCAGACAGGTAGATCCTTTCCTCATTTCAACTTGGCACTTGCCTTCTTCAGAACGGAGCCCTTTTCTGGCGAGAACTGCTCACCTCCCAGGGCAGGACTCTGATCTGTTGCTGTGTGAAAAAGATTCCCTTCCCACCAGGGGTGAAGATGGGGCATAGGTTCCAGTCAGGG